GAATATCTCGGCAGCGCGGAGTTATTGTCGGAAAAGGTAACGCCGCCTCCGTTGCTGCCGCCACCGTCGTATATACAGATATACATCAGAGCATTCGCCGCCGCTGCTACTGCTGCTTGCAAAACTTCGAGTGACGGCGGGCGTGTGTGCGTGAGTAGGTAGCGAAAACGGGGTCGGTTTTCGCTTTTCCCGTGCCGACGCGCGGCACTTACTACCGACAAGCCACCCACCGCCGGCAGCGCTCGACCTAACCCTCCGCCGCCCTCAGCCGGAAAGCGGAGTGCGGGCGTCGCGCACTCGGGGCGAACCCTCCGCGCGTTCGTGCGCCACGGACACCGAGAGCAATTTAGCTTCGATATTCAAATTTTGTGCTCGCCCGTAATCCGCCGCCAGTGTTGTGCGCTCTAGTTTCTTTGTTCCGACGTTTTGCATTAAATCGTATCAATTGCAGATTTATTACCGCCACCGAAAATAGTTTCGTTCTGTTGCATAAAATATATGAGAAACAAAATAAAATCGAAAAGTTTTGCAATAAAAATTAAATAATTGGTGTGCGGCGCTTGCGATATCGGCGCAATTCTCACCGGAGCGCACACGTCCCCGAGACCATTAAAAGTAAAGTCAAACAGGTGCTTAGAAGTTTCGAGACCCAAGAGAATCCCGCGCACTATTGCGACAAAGACCCGGCCGACCCATCACAGGTGGAAACGGCAAACGCCGCGTCGTCGTCGTGTTTATCTTTATAAAGAATATAAACGATGGCCCGCGATGGTCCGACCGGCTGCGTGCGTTATACGCGCAATCTGAACGCCGCTGCGGGTTTAATTGCCGCGTGTATGACCACACACACGCTCGCGCCGAAGAGCGTAAATCCGTCTCAGTGCGGAGCGTGGCCCACGCGCGCACATGCACACCGATTACGCCTCGGATGACGTAATAATTGTGGTCGCACACAGTATTGGCATTTTGCGCCGCTTTAGGGAGAAATTTGCTGCGCCACGCGAGCGCCGGCAGGCGGAAAAGCGATATAATGTAAATATGAATTTTATGCCGTTGTTGCGATATTTTTCACGAGCGCGCGCATCATCCGAAAACACGCCAACCACACCAGAAATTATTAAAATTCAAAGGGTGTAAATTCAGCCATTTAACACACTACAAAAATGTCAACACACATCGATAGTGTTTTCTTTTACGATTTTCGCTTTCGGCTTTTAATTCGGTCGTGCCTCGAAATGCGACTACCTTGAATAAATCGATATATGGGGGAATCAAATTGAAGTGGAAGCTGTAGAAGCTATGGAAGCAGTACTCCCAGGCGCTCTCGCTTCGCTTTCTTCATCCGCACCGCGCCCGGCACAAGGGAGAGACGGTTAAGTGGCAGAAAGCATCGCTGCCTCCGCTACCGCGCGCGCTATGCTTTGCTGGGGCGCAATGGGGGACGACGATGTCATCGTCGTGCCGCGTGCGGTGTTGCGTCGCTGGTGTGGGTGACAAAGTCTACAGTCATCAGCCGGCGGCAGCGCAACGCGCCTCTTTCCTTTTAGTCACACACAGAGGCCCGCCTGCCAGCCCGCATCTGCGATCCGACGCGGCTGCGGCAGGAGAAACAGCAGCGTGTGTCTCTTTGTGACGACCGACGAGCAGCGTAGCAGGAGATACCGAATTGAGTATGAGCACATGAGGAGCGCATACGTGCTAGTCGCGTGAGCACGCTTCAGTAATAAGCGCATTTATCTGTTCGCGCTTCCGCTGCTTTGGCGATGCCGCGCAAGTTGAGAACTATTATTGAAATCTGTTCCATCCAAGTTATCATATTGCATAGGTGCATTACTCGACACGACTTGTATTATTTACTTAATGTAAATAAATAGTTTTGATGATTCAAGCGATTAAATGGATAAATTTTAAGTTGTACCTGTATCAGTTTGCGTGCAACAATACTCTGCTCTAGTGGCAGGCACGCAGTATAAATCCGTGCATTTTGCTCACCGAGGGTAAGAATGGCATAGTAATAAATTTCGACGCGTACTTTGTACACTGTGCACGCGCCCATCGTGGCGGCGGTGCCGGGTTTCGCGGCGACCCGAACGAGGGTAAGCAAAATATCGCACCTCTTTGTGATGCGCCGCTTTGCTTTCGATACGCTGAAATTTATACGCGCTTCCTAAAAGGATTTGCCGCCCGTCGCGCTGCGCACGGCAGCACACTCGAGGCAAAATTAAAATAATATTGGCTTTGCCGCCGACGTTGAGATTTCCATGTTTATCACAACACGTGCCTGGTGCCTCCACCAAAACAAACTATGCTAACGTGTTTTTTGTTTCTAAATGAAAAAAAAAAAACTGCATATATTCTTACCTTAAACGGTGCGTTTGGTACGTAAAGTGGTGGATCCTTGGCTGATCCTTGCAGTTTCTCACTGACGGGCGGAATGCATCGGTCGGCATCGCAAACGCTATATCGTCCGACGATAGCGTCCGCCGGCCTGGCCTCGTATCCCGCCGGCCGGCCGATGTGAAAGCCTTTCGCCTTCACCCAGAAGCGAAACTTGCTGTTGTCAGCGCTGATAATCTCGTCACCGCGCAGCGTGCGCAATATTCGCGCGTACTTCTTCAGCGTGATGGTTTTGGTCTTGGCGAGATCACCGTACGTTTGGATGACCCACGGTTGATAGGCAGCAAACATCTCATCTCTGCTATCGATTGACAAGTGCGCCCGCTTGACGTTATTGTTCTGCTCGGATCGACGGCCGATGCCGGCGCTAGCCTTACGCTTCATCGCCTTCTTGCCCGCGGGTGTCGCGGGCGGCTTGCCGCTAGTGTCAAGCATGTCACACAGTTTTGCACGTCTCAATCCGCGGTCGGTGAGCATCGGCGCCGGCGTTTGCGGAATAGAGTCACCTGTTGTTTACACGCGGCGAGCGCGCGCGCGCTACGCTACCCGCTACTTTTAATTGGTTTCGGGCCGCGTGCGCGGAAAAAGTTTTCGGTGCGAGTGTGGTGTGCGCGCGTGTTTCTCGTGTCGAGCGTGCGTGCGTGCTGTGAACGGCGAGCAGCGAGCACGTCGAGATGCCGGGCTGTCCCGTACTGGTAGCGACTGACGCGTCGATCTCGGAGGTAGGTGCCTCCGCGGGACAGCGGCACTCGCTGCCGCATCCCCTCCACACCCTCCACGCGCCGCCGGCCGCCAGCCGTTCCTCTTTCGTGCGACGCCGACGTCCCGTGCAGGGATCCCGCACGACGGGCGCCTTTTACACGACCAACCTGTTCTTTACACAATTTTATCAAACTGTTTAATTAATAAAAAACATTGAAACCTAAAACTAAACGCACAACCTTTTTCCAGCCGCCCGGCGATCAATTATTGACACATGAAACAGTCGACACGCGGTGGAGCGAATAGAATTTTTATTTTTTTTGCCTATACGCTACGCTAGGCTGGACCACGGGCGCCGCAAACGTGTGTGCGGTCGTAGCATATTTGCTTTATTAATATAAAGGTGTGTTTGAACAGTGAGGCAGCGAGCGCACATCCGACGCCGGTCGGCGCTGCGCGGCCCGTTACGGTCCGAACGTTCGTTCGTTCGCTCGCCGCGTGCGTTTAATATGGGAAATGAAGAAAGGTAAACGCGGCGTGGGCGACCCGTCGCCGCTTTCATGCTCGCATGCACGCGACGCGGCGTGCCCGTGAGATGATGATATGCACATGCACGATGCACGACGCGCCGCTGCACGGATGAAAGGACATCGCCGGCACTCTGCCCGACCCACGCGTTTGCAAACACACTCACACAGACACACAAGCGAGAGGGCAGGACTTTATGGTACAGGATGTCGCAGGCACTTAGGTAATTGTACCGGTGCCGGACCCTTTCGTACGCCCGCTCCGGATATAATTATTTATCCATGTCCTCTGGACGGACAACGGTCTCTTTAACTCATTTGCCGGGAGCGGGCGCGTTTCTTTTCAACGGACACACCCAAAACAATCAAATGATTCACATTCATGGATATCCAGTTGGAACGTGAAGTATTGCTTAAAAAAAAATGAAAATTAAAAATGCAAAAATATGAATTTTTATTACGCACGTTGAAATCTAGTACGCGCTGGAAGCAGTGAGTACGTTTGTTGTGCGTGGTTGGCTTCGTATATGAGGGATTTCTGCATGCGGGATGATGTTGCTCATGCTCATGCCGCTGGACCAGTTCCGGTGAATTAATCTGGCCGGCCGGCCGCTGTAACGGTCATTGATTATACGCTATGCGCGAACCGCTAACGGACTCTGATATCCGGTCCGTTACCAGCGTCCGAGCGGCGGGCGCGCCGACGGGGCAACGACGTTTTTTGTTATTGTGCGCCGTGCGCGCGTGATTGTGTGTTGGGCGCGTTTCACAGCCCCCGCTTTCCAACCAACGAGCAGTTCTAACGCCAGCGGCGTTGTATATGCTTTGGGCTCTTTAATGTTTCAGCGCGGTCATTCTACTACTGGCGCTCATAATACAATCAAACTCAAAAAATACCAAATAGCAAAAATTCTACACAAAAATTTTAAAATTTTCATGTTTTGATATTTTTTTAAATGTTTAAGAGTGGATTTTATATTTATTTTATATCTGTACTCTGTAAGGGATGATTTATACCGTAATGCCGCCACCCACTCAATAAATTCTGCGCCACCGACAAATATCGCACGCAAGAATGAGAAGAAAAAAAAACCGCACGCCGGGTCGGCGGTTCGGTAATGAAGATCTTTCCTATGGGCGATTATCTTCACTCGGTTGGCGCAACGCCGCAACGAGAAAGTCCGCGTCGCCGGAATCTGTGTCGGCAATGCTCGCCGCGCGGGCTTGGATCGTTTAATGAACCGTCGTGGGGACGGTGCGGAGGCGGGCGCGGATGAAAACCGTCGCGCACCAAACGCGGCACCCGACAATGTTAACAGAGCGTTTCTAATTAGCGTTTTCGCCTCACCTCAACTCTGCATCTTCAAAATGCAAACAACAAACTTACTTGCTGGCTACAAATTTATCACACACATACACAAAAAAAAAATTAACGGTTACAGCATTTCATATCAACCGCGTTGCATTTGCATCTTGAACCTGTATTAAAAATTAACGAAACCGGCTTCCGGCGCGAGACGTTTAAAATTTAAAAGTCCAGCGGTCGTTCCTTGACCAGGGTCCAGTCGCCAGAATCCAGCTAGCGGGTGCAACTCCCTAACCGCCATCGTGAGTTGAATGCGTATGTGTGGGAATGCGCCGTATGCTGGCCAGTGGTCAGCTGAAATTGAAACAGGTTAGTGTATACGGCTGGATGCTGGACGCATGAAACAGGCGCAATCAAGGCATACATGTATAGGGGTGCAGATGAAAAAGGGTTGAGCGCTCGCGGTTCAAGAGGTCAGTACTGGTGCGGCGATACTGGTCCACACTACTGCATGCGGGGCGAGTGCAGAATCCGCGCTTTAAATGGATCTCGAAACAGTCGAAACGCTTTAACGGTTTCATTCAACAGGTTTTATTCTTGTTGTATGGCGGCGCGCCCGCCGGCCGACGGCTCTTGATCTGCTCCTAGGTTTTCAACATCGCCACATCAGGAAAGACGACATGATGAACGTTTCTAACGCGTCGGAGATAATTTCAACTGCGTTTCGCTCTTTCCTTAATCAGTCGACTGCTAATTACAGCGCTAACTAAAACAACCATACAACGAACACAATTGTTACTACTAATTAGGATAATTATCTTCGTTAGAAGTATAGTTGTGTTATTTTTGTAAATATCATGTGCAATATTAACCACCTTCTGTAATAAGGGTGTGTTACGTGTTTTATCTCAACCCTCCATCTATACTACATTCGCACTTGTAGACCCCACCCTTGCACCCTATACCTAAAAAAAATTACCCTCTTTATGCCGTCACCTCTTTTCTATTATTACGCCATTCAAATACAAATAATTCGTAAGAACTTGTTCTTGCCGACTTTAACGTAACAAGTGCAAAGTGCAACCAACTGCCGCGCTCGTTCCGGTTGACTTAGAAATATTAAACTTTGTGCCCCTTTTTTGCAAATATGTAGGTAAATCTATTTGATGGTGTCGATGCTCTTGAATTGTGCGCAGTGTACACCCAGTGTGTATAAAATCTGCTTGGGGTCAGAGTAATCCCCATCGAGACGCACAATGTTCGAGCATTCTTTTATGTAGAAGTCGAGTTCTTTCTCCGTTGGCGGTGCACCGCCAATACTGCCCGGATGCTGCTGGGCGGATGACATCAAATATTTATTGGTAAATTGCGCGAGTTTCGAGAACACCGAGCTGAACGCCTCGTCCAAATCGAAGAGCTCGAGCGGCGGCGGTGGTAATTCCCGGAACGATGGTGGGAACACCTGGAAAAAGTGGTTTCCATTTAAGGAAAAATTGCCGGAAATTGCTGTTCAGGAACGTGCTTGCAAAAATTAACCATACATCAAATTTTATCCTAATTTACGTGAATTTCAAACGTAATTTGCTGTTATTGATATTATTGTACAACAATTGTGTCGCAACTTTTGATATATGCGAATATCAGAAAAAATATTATGACAACCCTGAATTCATACATACGGCGGCTTGTAATGGCGGCAGTGGTGCTTCAAAGTTAGGACTTATCACTTTCAGCGGTTGATGTTTCACACCTAATCGTTCGAAGAGTTTCAAAGCATCCGGAACTAAACAAAAACAACACAAAATAATTGCAAAATATACGCAATAATTAAGTTTTTACCCAAATTTGTATTCATTGAATACGTTTTATGATCAAACAACTTGTTGTAATCCAAAGATACCGAATGAGTTATCGCATCAGTTAGACAAAGTTTTGGCCGATTGGCAAGTTCCCCTGTATCCGGTACAATGTGATGATCCAAAGCCTAGACAGATAATTAAACAATCGATTAATTATAATTTTAAAGCAAAGAATAATATTTCTCTGACGTCTAAATCATCATGATCCATCGTGGACATCCGGACGTCTGCGTCGGTCCTCATTAGGAACTCGAAGAGTAACTCCCTGAATTTATCGTTCTTCTCTTGGTCGATGTACTTGTCGATGAACATGTGGCCGGAGCCGACCGCGACCAGTCTGCCGCCTAAAATATAAAACTTGAAACAGACTGAACTCTCGCTTTCACCCGACTGCACGACTGATGCTCACTTCGGGTGGATTTGCAGCACTTACCGCCATTCTGATTGAAATATACGGCCCCCAACGGCCTATCAACTGGGCTTATTCACATTCATCGTGGCGCCGTGCGGATAAATCAGATTCAGATTTTCCGACTTGTTCGCGTAGAGCGCCGTGTTCACCGTCGCGTCGGCGATGTAGCACTCCTTCGGATGGAAATACTTGTAGTAGTGCGTGCGAATTAGTGAATCTGAAACGTGACGTGTTTAAATTAACCGATTGCAGTTCTTCTTCTTCTTCTTCTTCTTCTTCTTTGTTAGGCACTTTTGCCTGTTTAACTTCAGTGCGTCACCACATCTGACCACCTCTTCCTCGGTCGGCCAAGGGATCTTCTGCCTATTGGAGATCTGTCTCTGGCTATCTTGACGACTCTAGTTCGGTCCATTCTACTTATGTGTTGATTCCACTCTTCTCTTCTATCCTGTACCCATTTGTTGATGTCTGGAACCATGCACGCTGTCCTTATGTCTTCGTTTCGAACTCGATTTTGAAGGATTGCAGTTGGAAATACAATAACCAACCCATATTCACGTAGATGCCGTATTCTTCCAGAAGGATGTTGATGTTACCGGTGTCGTCCTGACTGCTCTCAGCAAGAAGTACCAACATCCGCCCGCCCTCGCGCAAATAACCGCGCATCGCATTAATTTCGCTCTCCTCGAATTGCCCTTGCGGCCCCGGCAATATTAGCAGTGAGCAATTCTTTAATAACTGCGACGATATTTCTTCCTTGTTCCTGCAACGCACAGCGCCCGAAAGCAACGTTAAAACGATAAATCATTCGTGCGCACGGTAAATAATTACACCGTCAGCTTCCAGAAGATTTTCACTTTGCGATGGAACGTCTTGTAGTTCTCGTTCAGCTTGAAGAGCTCATTGCGCGACGCGTTAAATATGATTGTTTTCTTTTCGGTGTTTCCCGTGTCCTTAATTGAAATAAGTGAGCTTTAAAGTTCGTAATTATATGTTTAATGTTTATAAACTTACTTCTAAAGGTGGCATTTTGATAAGAAAACAAGTAGAATACACAACCTATGCGATGTTGTTGATGTGGCGACGCAAATACAATAGATGTTTGTTTGTAATGTTTAAATCTTGTCACCAGCGCAACGAAATTAGTTGCATTTTATTAATGCAGGTGTCATACTATAAAAATCAATAAATCGAGATTATCTTAGTTCAAGGTAGCGACATCTAACGAGAAACAGCTCCACTTAACAACTATTTGCTTCTTCCATACAGTTCGACGGCTTTACCTTACAGACAACTGGTTTGAAGCTACAAAATAAATATTTATTTGTATAAAATATAAAATGTAATAATTCAGTAATGCACAGAAGCACATTAAATTAGGTTCCAATTTGGGCACACAATCCTTAATATAATCAAAGATATTTTTATAACAAATACATATACAATAACGTTATAATATAAAATAGATCCATCCATTTAACTCAATGCGAACTCATCGAACGCGATTTCCTGTCTTAAAATCCCAACAAGAATCGCTTCTGCCGATACAACCTTCACTTTACTTTTCAAGTAGGTTGCATACTTGGATTGGTGCGCAGCATCACCGACAACAATAAAATTGTCGTTTGCTGGTTTGCGAGTGACCACTTTGCCGCCATTTGCCTCAATTCCACCTTTGATTACATCCACCGATAAAGTAGTAACTAACAAAAATTGAATGCCCGCGAATATCTTGGAGCGCTTACTCATTTCCAATGTCTGTCCAATTTTGAACTTCCACATTTTCTCAGCATCAGGATCTTTAATTAGGTAGTCCCACGGATCTAGGAAAGCGTGCGCTTTCTTACACTCCATCAACCACTCTGGAGAGCAGATTGGTATTGATCTACCAATTGCAGACAATAGTTTCAACGTACGTTGCACTTTCTCCGTAACCAGAACAGTGCTTTGGGCAATTTTCTCCACAATTGAACCACCTAGGGACCGAACAATTTGCTTAAGTTTTGGATCATCCAACATCGTGAAAATAACCTTCGGTTTCGTAACTCGTTTGCTCCGCTCTGGTGACATAGTTACTTCCTCTTTAATTTTCGAAGATCGACTCACTTTCTTAATATCAGATTTAATTTCTTTCTTCTTTAAGTCTTCCTCATCAGTAATCACGAGTTTAATTTGTTTCTCTGGAACAGTTATAATTATTCGTTTGTCCTCCTTCTCACTATCTGAAGAATTATTCTGGTGACTACGAGTTGATTTAGATTTCTCGTGATTTTCCTTGTAATTAACACTCTTCTTAGCACGGGTACTTGCACGAACGTTTGTTGGTGGCCTACCCCTTGTTTTCTTTGTAACAACTTTACACTCTTCATCCGAATCATCAGAACTTTCTTCGAATCTGACACTACCGCGTGTTTGCCGCGTATTTCTTTTAGTGGTGTTAGTTTTCGCCGTGGCTTTTGTTTTTTTAATACATGCCTTTGGAGTTTCCGTCGATTTAATTTCCTTTTTATCGTCGTCCGTAAGATCGATCGTCTTAACAGGTTCCGGGGTGGGCATGGAGCACATAGTTTCTTCATCCAGTAACTTCCGCTTTTTTTTCCTCGCTGCAGTAGTGTCGAATGTCTTATCCCCTGCCAATGTCTGATCTTCCACTGTTTTGGAATCTTTCGAAATATCAATGTGCTCCATTGCTACCATTGGGATTGTGTCTGCCAAACATTCAACCTCAACATTAGATACCGAATGTTCACTTTCATCTAGCACATCAGTTGCAATTTGCTTCTTAATCATAGACAACTTGGAAGATACTTTGCCGTTTACGCTATTTTCAATCATGGTAGAACTTGCTTTCCCGAAAAAGTCTAAAATCGACTTATTTCTATTCGTTTCCAAATTTGTTACATCCATTTCTTTGATAGTGGATTTTCGACTATTATCTACTTCAGGCGTATCAATACTTTTCAGTTTGCTTGTTGTTTTCGCTTTTGGAGTCTCCGAAGTTTTAGCTCGTTTTGATTGGCCATTAACGTCGAATTCATCACTTGAGCGTTTTGTTCCTCCTCCAGTTAAACTACTGATAACATCTTGAGTGGAACATGTTTCTATTAAACTTGCTAAAGGATTTGTTGGCCTTGAGCTATCCGCCGTCGATAGGGTAACATTTTGCGTTTCAAACAAGACTTCCAGTTGACTTTCAATTTCTTGAACTCTTTTCATAACTGGATGTGGTTCACTAATGACGCTATCATTATCATTGCGCATTATCGGTTGAGTGGGAGATTCAAAATCAGTTTCTTCTTCTATGTGTGGCACTGGAACCGTTTTAGCTGCTTGTATTATAGGCTGCGTTGGGGCCTCAAAATCAATATCATCTTTTTCTTGTTCTGCACAAAGTGCAGGAGCTTCTAATGGTTGTGTGGGGGCATCAAAATCATCATCATTCAAGTTCTGCGTTTCAGCGTTAAAAACGTTATCACACACTTTCTGAGTTGGTGCATCAAAATCAAAATTCTCTGATTGAGTAAGTTTGCTGGTATTACCCGAATTTCGTGATCCTTTTTTTGACTTTGCAAATTCCGCAACAGGTTGAGTAGGCATGCAAAATACTTCACTCTCGTTATCAAAAGTCAACGCATTACATTCAGAAGCAATAATTGGTTGAGTAGGTGCCGAAAAATCTACATCTTCATCAACCATACCATTTTGAACCACACCTGGCTTAGTTTTAAGTATAGGCTGTGTGGGAGCGTCAAAATCAACATCATCGCACACATCTTGAGTGGCAGGTATTAAATCGGACGAATTTAAGCCAACTGACGACCGAGTTCGTTTACAAATTGGTTGAGTTGGGACAAGAAAGTCAGTTGATTCTGTATCGCGAACAACATTAGAATTGACCTTTTGTACAACAAATTCTTGAGATTCATTATCAAATGATTTCCTGGGTGTATCATGTAGAGATTCATTTGGCATATTATCCTTTTCTCCTACAGTGCTGTCGTTTATAACTGATTCATCTTTTTCTGTTGTACTTATTTGCAAAGCAGAAATATCACCGGATTCACATAATTCCTGAACACGACTTAATCCTAACTTGTAAGCAACATCACTAGGCCGTGAAAATGAAGCATCCTGAGTGGCTGGTATGTAATCAAGACTTGCGTTACCAATCGATTTTCTTGCTACAAATGAATCCTCACAATCTGATAGCACAGAATTCTCTATAGTTTTAGGTTCTGTGATCTTAGTTTCTACTTCCTCTCCAGCACTGTCTTCAGAATCACTGATGATGAATCGACTTCTCCGCACGCTAGACCTAACTTTCTGTTTAACAATGCCTTCATCATCAGATTCGGGTAAAATCTTAGCTGATTCCGCAATTGCTTCTTTTTCAGAATTTTCGATTTTGTTTCTTTCATTTAGTATTCTAGCATATGCGTTAATAGTTTCTAAAGTAGAATTACCCATTCCTGCTAAGAAATCAATAGATTCATCACTGCCATATCCATCATTAGGTAAAATCTCCGATTCCTCAAGCACTTCTTCATCAGATTTTGCTCCAGTTATACTTTTTTCCTTTGTTGATTTAGCAAATTCCTTGAGCAACTCTAAAGTAGACTGAGTCATACCTGCCTTTAAACCTACAGAAACATTACTATTATTCCCATTATCATTATCTTTAATATAATCAAAGATATTTTTATAACAAATACATATACAATAACGTTATAATATAAAATAGATCCATCCATTTAACTCAATGCGAACTCATCGAACGCGATTTCCTGTCTTAAAATCCCAGCAAGAATCGCTTCTGCCGATACAACCTTCACTTTACTTTTCAAGTAGGTTGCATACTTGGATTGGTGAGCAGCATCACCGACAACAATAAAATTGTCGTTTGCTGGTTTGCGAGTGACCACTTTGCCGCCATTTGCCTCAATTCCACCTTTGATTAGATCCGCCGATAGAGTAGTAACTAACAAAAATTGAATGCCCGCAAATATCTTGGAGCGCTTACTCATTTCCAACGTGTGTCCAATTTTGAACTTCCACATTTTCTCAGCATCAGGATCTTTAATTAGGTAGTCCCACGGATCTAGAAAAGCGTGCGCTTTCTTACACTCCATCAACCACTCGGGAGAACAGATTGGTATTGATCTACCAATTGCGGACAATAGTTTCAACGAACATTGCACTTTCTTCGTAACCAGAACAGTGCTTTGGGCAATTTTCTTCACAATTGAACCACCTAGGGACCGAACAATTTGCTTAAGTTTTGGATCATCCAACCTCGTGAAAATAACCTTCGGTTTCGTAACTCGTTTGCCCCGCTCTGGTGACATAGTTACTTCCCCTTTAATTTTCGAAGATCGACTCACTTTCTTAATATTAGATTTAATATCTTTCTTCTTGAAGTCCTCCTCATCAGTAATCACGAGTTTAATTTGTTTCTCTGGAACTGTTATAATTATACGTTTGTCCTCCTTCTCACTATCTGAAGAATTATCCTTTTCCTTGTAATTAACACTCTTCTTAGCACGGGTGCTTGCACGAACGTTTGTTGGTGGCCTACCCCTTGTTTTCTTTGTAACAACTTTACACTCTTCATCCGAATCATCAGAACTTTCTTCGAATCTGACACTACCGCGAGTTTGTCGCGTGTTTCTCTTTGTGGTGTTTGCTTTTGCCGTGGTTTTTGTTTTTTTAATACATGCCTTTGGAGCTTCCTCCGATTCAATTTTATTTTTATCGCCGTCCGTAAGATCGATCGTCTTAACAGGTTCCGGGGTGGGCATGGAACACATAGTTTCTTCATCCAGAAACTTCCGCTTTTTTTTCCTCGCTGCAGTAGTGTCTAATGTCTTATCCCCTGTCAATGTCTGATCTACTACTATCTGGGAATGTTTCGAAATATCAGTGTTATCCATAGCTACCATTGGAATTGTGTCTGCCAAACATTCAACCTCAACATTCGATACCGAATGTTCACTTTCATCTAGCACATCCGTGGCAATATGCTTCTTAATCATAGACAACTTAGAAGATACTTTGCCATTTATGGTACTATCAATCATGGTAGAACTTGCTTTCCCGAAAAAGTCTAAAATCGACTTATTTCTATTCGCATCAACATTTGTTACATCAATTTCTTTGATGGAGGATTTTCGACTATTATCTACTTCAGGTGTGTCAATACTTTTCAGTTTGCTTGTTGAGTTCGCTTTTGGCGTTGCTGAAGTTTTAAGTCGTTTTGATCGGCCATTAACGTCGAATTCATCACTTGAGCGTTTTGTTCCACCTCCAGTTAAACTGCTGATAACATCTTGAGTTGAACATGTTTCGATTAAACTTGCCAAAGGATTTGTTGGTCTTGAGCCATCTGCCGTGGATAGGGTGACATTTTGCGTTTCAAACCAGACTTCCAGTTGACTTTCAATTTCTTGAACTCTTTTCATAACTGGATGTGGTTCATTAATAACAATATCATTATCATTGCGCATTATCGGTTGAGTGGGAGATTCAAAATCAGTTTCTTCTTCTACGTGTGGCACTGGAACCGTTTTAACTGGTTGTATGATAGGCTGCGTTGGGGCCTCAAAATCAATATCATCTTTTTCTTGTTCTGTACAAAGTGCAGCAGCATCTAATGGTTGTGTGGGGGAATCAAAATCCACATCATCGCACACATCTTGAGTGGCAGGTATTAAATCGGACGAATTTAAGCCAACTGACGATCGAGTTCGTTTACAAATTGGTTGAGTTGGAGCAATAAAATCAACTGATTCTGTATCGCTGTCGTTTATAACTGATTCATCTTTTTCTGTTGTACTTATTTGCAAAGCAGAAATATCACCGGATTCACATAATTCCTGATCACTAGTCCGTGAAAATGAAGCATCCTGAGTGGCTGGTATGTAATCAAGACTTGCGTTACCAATCGATTTTCTTGTTATAAATGAATCTTCGCAATCGGATATCACAGAATTCTCTATAGTTTTAGGTTCTGGGATCTTAGTTTCTACTTCCTCGCCAGCACTGTCTTCAGAATCACTGATGATGAATCGACTTCTCCGCACGCTAGACCTACCTTTCTGTTTAACAACACCTTCATCATCAGATTCGGGTAAAATCTTAGCTGATTCTGCTTTTACAATTTCTTCTGTTATTTCATTTTCCGGAACATTAGTCAAAGGTAATGATGGCAGAGTAGTTGATGTTTCAAGACCTATTTCATTAATAGGAATATTTGTGGATTCCTCATCAATAGAATTTGGGGCACCACCATTCAGATCTAACTTATCACCAGATGGTTCCATTGCAATTTCAACATGTTGAGTATTTCCAGCAAAAAATTGAGAATCCACAATGGCACTTACAACAGAACATCTCTTAGTGACCACTTGTGCGGGTGCCTCATTGATACTTGGAACAGTTACCATCAACTGGGTTTCAGCTTCATCTATACTTTCCTCTGGAGCTGCAGGTTTATTCTTCCCAATCATGGAATCATTAATCATTTGTGTATCAATGACCATCTTTGATAAGTCATCATCCATGTCATCACTGAACATAGCTTTTGTTTTGTCAACCATTTCCACTTGTGTGCTGGCTTCATAAAAACCTTCCTCTCTCTGTGTATTTTGAGACTCATATTGTGGAGTATATATTTGTGATGAATTTTTATCATGTATCTTCTTGTACTTTCCAATAAATTGTGGAGTGAATTCAATTTCACTGCCTTCTTCCAGCAGATACATTTGAAATGGTGATAGGTTGGTACCATTAAGTTTAGTGCCATTTGTGGAGTTAACATCAGAGATATAGTGGGCATCATTGATAATAGTAAAGATAGCATGTTGTTGACTTGCAACCTAAAATATCCAGCTTTAGAAGATAATAACATGCCTAAATATTTATTTACTCACTAGGTCTTTTAAAATTACTACTGCGTGCTTGCTTCGTCCAACAATATTTATGCCCTCGTAGATGAAGATGTTTTTGTTTCCGATTTGGAGAATTCCCCGCTAGAATTTAAATTTATGTAAGGTTATTTTAACGGATTTTCATAATTATCAATGCGCACTTACTCTTGTTCGCCGTGAATGATTCATCTTGTTACGGTGATGTAAATAAAATCCATTAACAAATGATTATAGTATATTTCGTATGTTATTTTAAATTGGTTTCACCATTTTAGTTTAATTACAAATTATTGTTTGTGGCCTTCGTACTGGCAGTGACTTCGCGACTGGTTGAGAAAAATGTGACGCAGTGCTGCTGCTTTGTTTTGGAGTTGATCTGACAGAGGTCGCAACAATTCCAGTGTTTAATTTTGTTTTTATTTATTGTTTTTAGTCTTTATTTTGTTAAGAAAACGATCAAGACTTGTGCAATATTAATTATTACTCAATTATTTAAGATATATTTTAAATAGTTTTAGTCAATAATCATATTCTTTTGTATAATAGTGTGTTTCAGGAATATTGCAAGCTTTTCAAAATTGATTTACATTTTACTACAAATTACAATCCCAGATCAAATTCACCGATAGAGCGTTTTCATTCCACCATTCTTGAAAAAATCAGGATTGCAAAGCTCAAAAATAATTTTGGTCCAAGTATTGAGCCTTGTGGCACACCTGCTTGTATTGTTCGTTCTGTCGACTGGACTTCGTTAATTTTAACATACAGTTTTCTATTCTTAAGGTATGAATTGATCAGTAGTATTAGGTCTGTGGGTAATTTTAGTTGTATCATTTTAAATATAAGCCCGTCCAGCCAAACTGTGTCGAAAGCTTTATATCTGTCACAATTCGCGATATTTGGTGAGTCGTTGCATGTCCTTTACGGAAACCAAATTGTTCTTTATTAAGACTATCATTCTTTGAGAGTAGTTGGTCGAGTTTATTGTGAATAATGTGTTCAGTTAGTTTACCTAGCGTGTTCAATAAGCTAATTGGTCGGTAACTACCAGGATCATGTTTGTTTTTATTGGGTTTTAGGAAAGGGATCACTTCGGCAATTTTCCACATGCTGGGAAAATGGTGCAGTCTAAACGCAGCATTGATAATAAGTGCTATGTGTACAATTACTTTCTTTGGAAGGTTTTGGTCCTGGAGCTTTTGTCGCGGGCAGTTTTTTGATAATTTGTTTTATTGCGTTTGGCGTGGTTTCGGTTTATTTCGATACCTTGCGATTGGCCGCCACGAAGTTGTTTACCTGTTCCGTCACGTTTTGTTGTTCTTTTGTCAGAGTCGGGTCTGCCGCGCATACTGATGCGTATTGGTCAGCTAGTATTTCGGCCTTGTCTTTGTCATTATGTGCATGTGAAGATGTTAGATTTATTTTCAATGGTGCCACGCCTGCCGCTTTTGGTTTGGTCGACTTAACGACTCGCCAAAAGGAATTGTTGGCTGTTTTTAGGGAGCCTAAAAGATCTGACCAATGTGAGTTTGTATCTTGTGTGATTGCATCTTTAATTTCTGTATTTAGTTGTCTGAATAATTCATAGTCACGTGGATTTCTATACTTTTGAAATTGTCTACGAGTGTAGTTCCGTGCTTTGATTTTGTTAATAATTTCCGGTGGTAGTCTATCAGATTTGAATTTATGTACTTGTTTTCGTTTGATTGAGGTTCTCATAGTGGATTGGATGCGCTCTGTTAAAAGCAGCACTTCGGTTTCTAGCTGTTTTATTGATGTACCTAATAGAAGTTAGTAAAATTGTGATTTCATTTAGGACTCTACGGAAATTAGCCCAATTTGCGTGGTTATAGTCCCACCTACTTACAAACGAAATGCTACTCTTGTATGAGCCTAATGTAAGTTTTATTGGAAGATGATCGGAATTTAGGTCATTTAAAATATCAATGTCACATGTTATGTTTTTTGTTATTGCAAGGTCTAGTGTTGAGGGTTGTTGTCCGTCGGATGGAAAGTGGGTTGGTTGGTCAGGGTAGAGAATGCAAGCGTTGTTATTATTAATGTAATTTTCTAGGATTCGGCCATTTTGGTTAGAATTTGGGCAATTCCAAAGCATACTTTTTGCGTTAAGACCTCCAACAATTATATGTTTCTAGGGGTCATGCAAAATGATGTCAAGGTCTTGGGGTTTGATTACTTGATTAGGGGGATTGTACCATGCTGTCAGAACGATGTCATTGCAAATTTGAATTTGTATTAATTCTAGATGACTTAGTCTATTGTCAGGTGAGTCCATGTGTGTAATGTCATTCCTGATTAGAATCGCAATTCCCCCACCATGAGAGTCGCGATCTTTTCTAATTATGCGGTAATTCCTTTTATGGCTTTTATTAATTTTTGTCTCGTTAATTGCCATAATTTGCACATTATTGTTCTTTAAAAAGTGTTTTAATTCTGTTAGTTTTCCTAGGATACCGTTTGGTGTTCCAATGATAGATTATGAGCTTATGGTCCATTTATGTTTGACGTAAAAGTATGAAAATTTCAAATTTTTCTTGCATTGTCTTAGCGAGGCGTAGTAGTTTTTGGATTTAGCTCCTAACCAAAAGAGAGCATATTGCTGCAACATCTACTAATCTGTGTAATATTTTGATTTCTGCCCGGCCACTGATTGTATTCGTCTAATTTACCCGCTGTATCGCCGTGTTAGTCGTGCTGGATGGTACATGGCTGCCTCTGTATGAGTGCGGCTCCTTTATTGCGTTCGCGTAGCTTTGTTGTGTTGAAGTAGCTGGTGTCGTGCGCCGCAGTAGATGTTGAAGGTATAGGTCGGCGGCTGTCGTTGGAAAAGCCTCGTTGATCTTGCACATCTGGTAAGGGTAGCTCTCGCCTCATCTGCAATGTTGCTGGCATTTCCTCTGGCTTTTCTCTCTGTTCACGTCTTCTTTGGAGAGCTGTCTCGTAAACTTCACATTTCGTGGAATTTGCTGTGGTCCCCACCGCAGTTCACGCATTTTGCAGGTTCGTCTCTGCTTTTGGTGCACAGGTATGTTGCATGGTTTTCCCCACACTTGAGGCATGCGAATGCGCTATTACAATTCGTGGTTGCATGGCCCCATTCTTGACACCTTTTACATTGCCGTATTTCTCGATTTGATTTCTATGGCGCCCATTTGATTCGTGTATGCCCCAAGAGGCAATGTTCTTTGTTTAGCTTTTTAATAGCGTAGTTTTCATTAAAAATTACTAAGTAAATTGGTGCTCTGGTGTTTTTCAATCGAGATATTCTGTCAATATTGAGCTCGATTTTTAATTCTGCAAGCAGCTCATCCGTGCTTGAGTCTGTCTCTAGGTCATAGATTACTCTTGCCGATTTTCTTTCATTTTTTGGAGTAAATGAGTGGTAGCTCAATTTGGCGTCTTGAAGATATTGTATTAACTTTAGTCTGTCTGATTCTACTTTACAGAAGACTAAAGTACGCTCATTTTTCGTTTTTATTGTGAAATTGTTTTGGCCAATTACGCCAATGATAATATTGATGAATTCAGTGTATGATTTTGGTTTCGAGCGTATCACTATGGGTGGCGGTATTACCTTTTTCTTTTGGTGATTTTCTGTTGCTTTATCCATCTTTTCAACTTCCTCATCATCGACGCTTAGAACGTCGAATTGATTTTGAGTTCCCACACTGTAAGTTGTTAATTGTTCCTGAAGTCTTTGAATAGTTGCTGGGTCACATGTTGCGGTTTCGACAGTCGAAAGTTTCCGCTTTAGAGCTCGGCTAGATCCTTCTTCTGGATCCGGTTCGTCGATAGCCATCTTGGCAATTTTCACTAATTTTTCATTCACCATTGTCACAATGTTTTTACTCACTATGTTTTTCGTTTCTTTCGTATTTGGGACACGAGTCTCCGTGGCGCATTGTAACGTTCGTACTTGTTTTTTAGTCTTAATGTTCACTTTTAGATATTCACTCAAACACTGTCCACAGCGAGGGCTGGCCTGAGTACGACCTTGAACGCGTGGCGAGCGAAGCTTAACACGTCCGTACCACTTGAGGGTTCGAACGAGAATTCAACGTGGTATGGCCGTTGCCTGTTAGTATAGTATTAATATAGAAATTTAAAAACAAATTCGTCCTTGAAATCTTTAAGAAACTTGCAGTTCTACTTCGCCTATTCTTTTGTACTTAAAATACAAACTTGCAAGTCCCTGACACGCCCACAGGGTGTTCTGCATGTTGTTGGTGCATGGTCATATACGCAACCTTACACGGCTTTCCTTCTCTTGGTTTGTCCTCGGACCATCTTTTGTTTTCAACCTTCTACTCTAACTCAGTTCAGAGTAGTTTGCTGACCAGTAATAATAATGTGCTATGGGAAACCCAATTGTTCCCCAAGATTTTCCTTTTCTTGTTGTTATCAGCCAGTTCATTGGAGATTCGTATACTTTTATTATCATGTCTTCATCATTCACAATATATCGATCTATATAATTACATGCGATATCTAGCCACTCTTTCATGCTGTATGGTGAATCATCAGGGTTGTATCTAGTTAGTTTTGTGGGAATTTTCACATATTCCAACACATATTCCAATATTCCCAAAATCGATAACTTTCCAGTCATATCTTCAAGTACTTCACTTTATCTCTTTACTGCTTAATCGTAGGAGTCTTAATCGTGGGAATCTTCAATCCCAAATATTCCCAACATCCAAACTCTTCTACCCTTACTCAGTACCCCTACGAGAAGTTTCTTAAGATGGGAGATCAGAGAAGGAAGTAAAACAGTTCATCAACACAGTTCATCTAACATCGGCGCATAAGACAGTTTATCATGATCGACCGCTCAAGACAGTTTATCCCGATCGACCGCGCGAATCACAACACTCAGTTAAGCCAGTTTACCAACAACAGACATTTCGTTAACTTGTGCATATTTTAACATAGTGTCTTTTTGTTAATAGAAACTTATATCATTTTACTACAACCGGTGGACTCTATTAATTATAACACCACCGCGCAAAGGAACACACTTCACTCACAGTTTAAAATAAGGCAGTTTACTTACAAGTAAATCTGAAGCAATCGGCTGGTTGATATTGTTTGTTTGACTCTTCAACAACTTGAAAAGTCGGTCAATCACTTCTTGTTGCTGTGGCTGATAGTGCAGGAATTGTTCGGACTGAAAACTCATTGATGGCTCGTTCTCTCGCTGTTTATTAATTCTTGCTTTGCTGACGCTGCTCTCCAGAACTTTATCGGGTATGGTGTTAATATGCTCAATTTCCGCTGTCGCGCTTTCTTCAACTCCATCAACTTCATTATCACTCTCATTCATTTTACTTTATTTCACTGTTCTAGTTTTGCAAAATAGTTTTGGTAGAAAAAATTTCAAATTAAGGCGTTTTGGATACAACTTTTACTACTTTTATTTAATTGTGAACGGTTTATAACGAATGCCGGAACACGAGTGTGTGTTGTTTTTTAGGAGACGAATGACCACGACGTAAGTCGCTGACATAAACAGAAAAACCCCCCATCGGTGATGTGACTTCATGCCCACAGTGTGCTTCCGCCCATAGACTTTGAGGAAGCCCGGCGCCGTTTATAATGGCGCAACTCATCTCAACAATGGTTCGATTCTGTCTTTCGACTTGACCCAATTGTTGTGGTCAACTTTAATGCTGATTATGTGGTGTCGCATAATCTTCTGCATCTCACCACTCTTAAATTGGCAGGCATTATCAGACCTCATACGTCTTACCTCGTGCCCAGTTGCTTTAAATTCTGCAAACACATCTTGCACTGCAGCAACAATCTCAGCCTTTGATTTTAATGGCTTTACAAAAACCGTAACCGAATAATCACCAACAAAGACTGTCATCACGATTGCACCACCGAATGATCTGCAAGGCATAGGACCGCAAATGTCAAAATAAATTAACTCACCAGGATATATTGTCCGTTGCTCATTTTCGTCAAACGGCTTCTGCATTTGTTTTGCCCACAAATTTCACCGAACTCCTCCGCTTTGCTCCCACTGGTCGTTGACTTTGTTGCCATCATACCGATGACGAGCCGAACCTTTGACAAACTCCCAGACAGAACCGTAATTTACGTGACCCAGACGGTTATGCCACACTTGAAGGGTTGCTAGTTGTTCGGCAAGATGGGCACTTGCATCCACTTGAACGAAGTCAATTTCGTACAAGTTGTTTGCCTGCCGATGCCCCGTCGCGATCGTTTTTCCATTCTGTTGCATGATCAACGAATCTTCCGGGAATCCGATATCTACTTTCATCTTCGTTGCAGCACCCAACGACAAAAGACTTTGACCCAGCATTGGAATGTAAAGCACATCTAAAGTATAGCAATACCAGGCCACCTGATTTCGAAACCACTTCAATATCGCCCCAACCCTTCGCATAAATACTGTCTTCGTTTCCAACTCTGACACAAAATTGCCCATCCTTCAGTTCTTGAAACGAAATAAACAACGCACGTTCAAACATCTTGTGATGCGTAGCTCCGCTATCGCCAATCCATGTGCTATCTCTAACCGAAGAGTTGCACACTGCATTTACAGAATCTGCATGCGCTAACATCAACGTTGCACCCCGTGACGAGTCAACTCCCGAAGCTTGATTCGACTGCGCCAGATCATTTCAGCGAATTGGACACTTGTCCGCATAGTGGCCAACCTTCTTGCACTTGAAACAGCGCACTGTGCGTTTCTTTGCTTTTCCACCTTTTTGTCCATCTTCCCTCAAATCTAATTTTGAGTAGAGAGCATCACCTATATCGTGATCTTGGCGTACTTCACAGCCAGTGCGTGTTGCTTCCAGAAGAAGTAACTGTTTCCGCAGTTTTTCGAAGTTTAGCAGTTGGTCTGATGCCGCTAAGAGATAGTGTTGTTCTCGGATAGAACTAAATCTTGATGGAAAATCATTTACAAGTTTATCGACACGATTATCGACAGTTCTGCACAATAACCGACTGATTCTCGCTGACCGTTAGCGCATGCAAAACCCGACCCAACAAATATTTATTTGTCTCCATTTTTGCCTCGTATAATGATTTAATTGTGTCCCAAATTTCCAGTGATTCCGCCATTTCTTAGCTTCCTTTGCATGCGTCCTCGAATTCGGGCATGGCCCAGCTCCAGACACAATATCGAACACACCGACACTCTCCGAGCACGATGTGACTTCGTAAGGCACAAGAATAATACCAGAAGTCTGAGTAAACCGTTCTTATGTCCACAACACACAATTTTTTAAAAATACACGCAGCCAGTCGTTTTTACACTGGGCCCATGTTGCTTAGTTTTACATAAAGCACTACCCCCGACAAAGTAACGAACCTAACTGACTTACTAACAGAACACAAAGTGGCTGGGAAGCCACTAAGCGACTTGGCGTGGGCTGTACAGCGCCACCAGTGGAAGAGCGCCAAACTCAACAATAATTTTTACAATTTGTTGGTACACGCTAATGCAGATATTAATATACTTGATAGCAAAGAAACCTTAAATAATTTGGGATTAGCTAAGTAAAGCTAAGTAAACACTTACTGTACGCTATACCCTCACAATATCGCCAAAACGATATTTTTACTAAACCATTGCAAGTCAATGCAAGTATTTGTCAAGCCTGATGTGGATAGCTATTTCGACCATTAGAGTCTCATCAGCACACCTACTGGCTTGACAAATACTGCATTGACCTGCCATGGCTTATAGTGTTTACTTAGCTTTACTTAGCTTATACTCACCCTCTCGTACTACCATTGTATTTCAATAATTTGGGATTACTTCAAATATACTTACGTGATACTGTGTGAGCTGAATTATCTTGGTGAACATTATGTCTGAATTTGAATATGTTAAAGAAGTACGTGCTCACTCACTATTACAATGAGCTTTATCAGGATTAATTTCTACAAATAATCTATAGAAAAGCAGAGAAATAATTATGTGATAATGACTGCCAATAATAGGTTTAATTTAACAGAAACATAAGTGATACAATCAAAATATAGTTTCTTTTTAAATGAACTAAACAAGTGGAAACAGTAGTGTTTTTCTTATTTTCGAATTTGTTAACTATTGATGGTTTTCATTAGATCTCTTTTGAAAATTTTTTATAACACTTTCGACTTCAGTTGGTAGGAAAATAATGGAGAAATGTTGCGTGAGAAGTTATAGTTGCAAAACTTTAAAAATGACACATATATTTTTAGTTACAATTAGTCCACTCATATATCCATATTTACAACAGTAAGATAAACGCTTTCTTTGGTATACATATAAATAATTTACAAAAACAATGCTTACAATGTTAATCTTCAAATTAGAAACGCCACAAGACAATTACAATTAAACATTGCACACAACAACAATTTATCGGGATAGATACATAGCATACAAATATTACAAAATCCTATAATAGTCTTTGGACGATTTTACAAGTACAATATAGTACGATTACAATACAGAAAATTTATAAGGCAAATAATTACAAATTATAAAACAATAATGTACATATTACATGAAACAACAAAATAGCCTTCATCCAATCAATCAAAAATCGCACGTCATGATATAACTCTTTGGTTGGACTTCTCGGTCAGGTAAAATCGATCTTACAGATCAAATTGTTAAATGTAGAAATAATTTTCATAATCAGCATATGAAGGACTCGCTGATAGCACCGTGTTTATTTGCGTTGTGCTATTGTTGTTGTGATTACTATTCATATTGACATTGCTGTTGTTGTTATTAATGTTTTTATGAATATTTATATTATTATTGTTGTTATGTGTCGTGATGTTGGCCTTATCGTCCGACTTCTTAATACACATCAGAGAGCTTTGACTCTTTGACAGCTGCATACTGGCTGTGCTCTGTGTAATCTTTTGCCCTTGTGGCAAGGGTGGTAATCCCGGCACAAAGTAGAATTTCCTGCGAGACAGTGGCACGTAGTCGTGATTGCGGCGGATGAGGAAGTGGGACTTGTGTTGTGGCAGCCAGACGGCCTGCACCTGCAACGGTCGGTCGTCGGGATGCAGCTTGCGTTGTTGTTCCTTGTCAGGGCACACTTCATACAAAGAAAACTGCTCCACGCGTTCTTTGCTATTAGAGCACTGTAGAAGTAATGCGATCAGTTCATCCACCGTTGTGCGTGCACTGATTAACAAAGATTTGTATTGCGAGTTTGCGTTCAAGGCTGAATCATGAACTTTGACAAGACCTCCACGACGAGTTTGCAGGGAAAACCTGTAAAAACGTTAAATTAATACTATTTATTGCAATGATTATGTATAAATCTTACTTTGAGTCTCCTTTGGGATGACAACTCTGTAGAACTGCAGGGCGTGCTTCGTCATCAAGAGGTAAATGTGTCCGTACTCCAGCTTTGCGAACGGTCACTTCCATACTCAGATAAAACAATTTAGGATCACGATGTTTCATCTTATATTTGGAGAGAAGAGTCTGCACCACTTCCTTGCACGAAGTTTGAAATGTTATGCTCAACGTTTTGTATTCAATGTCTGGTCGCAGACATTTCGCGTAGACTTTAATAGTCGTCTGGAACAAGAAAGATTATTAAAATCTCAAAACAACAAGACAATTAATAATTTACATGAATATTACACGCAGGAACAATTTCGTTTAACACTTTACGAGTGGTATTAATTCTATACATTATAGAAATGTTTACCAACAAAACGCTACCGCACCGAATTATAATCAACCAAATACTGAAAAATGCCAGGGTCCACCAACGCCTTCAAACGCGTCGCGACGCAGCAGCCAGCAATCGTCATCGTATCCGGTTGACATTAGAAAAATAAAACTCGTCGCAGGCATTATGTAACCTGCATCAATGCGACGCATCTACATCTAACACTTGACAATTTGGGCCGGCTGAGAAACCCCTTTCATCCAAAAGCAGCATATGTATGAAAGAAGGAAGAACACGAACGAAAATAGCCTCTACTTCTTTGCAATACAACGCGACACTTCAAGCATGTGAGGTAAAGCAACAGTTTCATTCCTCGTACATCATCATATAATGTCAATTAATTTTTCTTTTAAATTATTTTTTCTTCCGTTTTTCATCGTTTTGAGACAAAAAAGTGGTACTTTATCACGGGGTTGAGTATGCACTGTCAGTGCATGCATTGAATGAATTTTGAAGATTTTAAATACAAAAGTTCAAATACAAAAACCTAAACTTGGAAATACAGTGGCAGTAGAAAAAATAGCGTAAGCATCACGTGGCTAAACGTTGTTAACACTCGATTGATTAAACGTTGTTAACACTCGATTGATTAAACGTTCGCTCTCAATCTCGGCAAAACCGGGGTTTTGCCATTTGATACTTAATATACAATTATATCATAATCTTGGAGTAATATAGAGTGAATATTATAATTGTTGGAAAAATGTATAAATACGCTAATTATGAGGTTATCGTAATAATAGTATTGGAAGCGATGCATGTCAGTACGAACTGATCAACGACGCGAAGAAACTGTTATCAAGAGGTCAAGTATACATGTAGTTTGTAATTGCGCATAACGTAAACAACTCTTTGATATCGCCAAGTAATTATTGACTATTTGTAACGAAGCAACCAATTTTGTATGTTGGAATTTCAATGTGAAATTGATGGTCTACTAGTGGGTGGTATGTTTACTCAGACTAGCAAAACATTTTCTTGTTTAGTTAAATTTATAAGGAACGTGCTAGCTCTTCGACTTTTGCTCAACAGGATACTGATATAAATGCCGCCTTGGTACATCCTGTACCATTAGTTCTTCATCTTCCTCTTCTCCTGACTGCAGAGCAGCAGATAAAAAAAGGTTCGCCCTTCTTATATGCCAGGTGGTACTTGCCATCAAGCACGAGTGCTCAACTGTTGAAGAGCAACCAAACACCGGATAAATATTATATTTAAATTGTGATACCAAAAATATGTTTCATGCTAACCTACCCTACTGCGCAATATGTTTAATATTCACGTTCCACTCACTAGTTCTTTGTGCCACTATAAATAAATTTCACTTTATGATGCACACGTTAGCAAGAAAGCATCTGGTGTGCGGTGCAGACAGTAAGAGGTACAAAAGGTCAGCAAAGAAACCAAGAAGGGCGCAGCACGTCAAGCACAACGCGGTAAATGGTGCATGGTTCTTCCATTTTGAGACGAGAACAGCCTAAGAGTGAAAGCAGAGAGTATAGCCAGCAGCCTGCACAGGAAGTTATGGAGCGTGCCCAAAGTCATGAACGAGCTTATCCTTTAAAAGCCTTCAAAACAACGTTCTTGCTTCTTCATCATACCATATGCGGTGCGTTTCCTCGAAAACGCGCGTGCCACACGTTGCGCTCGTTGTTTTAATGGCTTCCAAGTTTAATTATTAGTTTTTACGATTTTGCAAAGACTGCCAATCGTAAAATATATCTAAACTTAACCTGTATGAAGGTGTATCAGATGCATTGTTGAAATTAATAAGAATTACAAAAATGCATATGAAAATATAATTAAAACGACTTCATACTAAAAACAGATTTATGTGTTGAATAATAACGAACATGACGAATTGAAGTGCATTGTTTATTGCGCACGTGCGGGGGACACAAAGACGCCTTCAACACCCTACTCAAAAGCTTACTTCCGGTGGTAATTTAATTCTCTCTATATACAACAATCACATCCACACACTTGTATACAACGATCATTACATATAAATTTGTCAAAAACATTGAATTTCCTTAAGGTTTCCTTTCTTGTTCTCTGATAGTTTTTAGTTTTTAGATACCACACGAATTAAAAAAAAAAGGTTTTGATAGAGGATTGTTGAAGGTATGAAAACGAGAACATCCGCTTTGTCTATGAGGCATCGTTTATTTAAGGGCGGTGTACAATTACGGAGTAAATGCTGCGTGAATGGGAAAGGGGATGTTTCCGGCTTATTAATTGCACGAGGCTGCCTTTTTTACCTACCAACCACAATGTAAACGGAGCTTTCATTGTTAGGCATGTAATCGATCATCAGTCAATTTCAGAAAAAAGACCTCCCACATAAAATATAACAAGATTGGAACAAAACAGAACTATGCGGAGAATAAAATTGTCACTTGGATTAAAAAATGTTAAAATTGAAAAGATTTGTGCTAGTGTTATGTTTTTTGTTGTTCAATTCTAGTATCCTAGCCTTGAAGTGCCGATTAAAAAAAGTTTTGCGTTTGTCTCACATAGGTCGCACGCAAATTGTGCAATTTTTCCTAGTTCTCCACGTTTACTCGATTTCATTGCAAAACCGAGAACCGCACACGCTTCGCAGACGCACAGAAGGACAATAAACAATGAGCCCGCATTTTTTCTTCTCAGCTTCCATTTGTTACTAAGCAAACCCGCCGCTTACTAACGACCACTAAATGACTCCGCCACGCATAGCAGACACAAAAAGACGACTTTCTTAGTCCACAACTTTACTTTAAGTAGCTAACGATAGAATAAATGATTAAGTCGCGTTTCAAAATATCTACAACATCATATTTCACGCATAGACCTAATTTCAAATCACAAATTTCGTACAAAAAAACAATGCAAGACAAAAATTTAATGTTTTATTTTGTTGAATTTCACATTTTTGTGCTTTATTGTTTCAACAACTAACAATCAAGCAATAAAATTTAAAAATTCAGAAAAGAATAGACCCACTTATTGCTAATACTATTAATGGAATAACTGTCATGAGAAGACAATGTGAACTATTTCCGTAAGAATTAATATGTGTAAACTACTTCTTGTTCAATTAACGTAAAGTTGTATAACATAAAATTAATATTTCTGCAAATTTTAATCCAAATCAAAAAGATAAACTCGCAATATAATTAGGTTAAGATGTGAATTCCAAAAAACATAATATCGAGAAATATTGGCCACGGAATTTCGTTGTTTTTGATCTCAACAACATAAAATGTTTTTATCATTAACGCTCTAGGAAAATATAAACTAAACTTAAGACTATGGTACATGTGGTTGTTATATTATCTGAATACTCAACAATGCGAATACCATTGTTGTTGTTCAGTGAGTGTGGAGTAGTACGGTTGGAATGTAGCCCAATACGAAACACTATGCGCAATTACGCACCGCGACGTGTGATGCTCCTACTTTTGTTCCTACATTTACAATACTCTTCATTTTGAGCTGATGAACAAGACAATAAGATGATCATGATGTGGCCGAGATGAAACAATTGGAAATTCAATTATACCGTGCGTAAATTGGTAAGTACCGGGTAATTTAAGTTTAGCAGTGGTAAGCAACGAGTTCAAGCCGATTATATGGCGTCTAGTGACTTTAATCAACATTTCCTTATTACCGAATCATACCCACACCCAGAGTCCAGGTTCAACATACGCATGAAATGTAACAAGATCAACTTTAATTATCGCCTTAAAGTCGAGCAATAAAGAAATGGAATGCATATTTCTATCTCTAAACTTTGTAATAAAATTTTAATCTGAAATTAGCGCTCGACATCGGTCAGATTGCTATTTAATTAAAATACCTTTAGAATTTAATCTTTTTATATTGAAAGGACATCCGAAAACAATTACACGCCTCAAGCCACAGACATCTCAATTTTTAATTCAATATAATGCTGTTATGATGGTATAATATTAAATTCTTAATGATTGCAACGCGCCCAAGTAACAAACAATAATTTCGTTAGTAGTAGTAGCTGATACACAAATAGTTAATGATTATTGTCAGCTATACCATGCTGCCGTGCCGCTCGCTGGACCGGAAACAAAATTGTTATCCACGTGCTATGAAGTCGGACAATGTTTTTTTTTGTACACGAACACGAGCGCGCGGCTTCCTGTCCTTTTTTTGTCCACTGTCGCGTCGAAAACAATCACAAGGTTATGTTTATTCAAAATCAGGTTTGTCGCTTGTGTCGATTCGTAATAATCTCTCCAACATCACGATATCAAAAAGTATTCCGAATAAACGAATGCTAACCGGATGGAAACTTTTATTTTGGCATCATAATGAATGGTGTTATTGTGTGTGATTAATTTTTGCAGGCAATTGTTGATTTTCTGCTAGGTGAAATTTAATTCATTTAGTAATTGAGAAAGTGCTCCCACAAGTTAATATAAAGATATTGTTATTTTTGATTCTCTCATACACATGATTTGATTTAATTAATTTGCAAGTTCTCATTGGTTCTATTTTGTATCTGTGCAAGATCTTCTAAGCAACTACAATGCATTGTCTGCATAATTTGCTATTCGCGGATTATGCTATAATTTGTACTCAAATGTAACGTTAGAATTAACAACTTGGGAGTGTAATATTCGCACGCTTTCTATTTGCAGATTGCAACAACTAAATGCAATGAGTGCAAATTTAAACGATGCCTAATTAATTCTAAAATTAGACAATGGATGAAATAGTAAATATAAAATCAGAAATTAAATGTTTGGGAGTATTTGTTGAATGAAAGAACTAATGACGGGTTCAACCCAGGATGAAGAGGAGGATTGAGACGAACCACAGCTTC